GAGCATTCTAGCGCCCTGTCATGAAGAGTTCTAGTGGAGCATTCCAGCGCCCCCTCATGGAGTGCTCTAGGACCACATCCTCAGTTCGGTTCTCTTGTTTTCTACTACCACAGGTGCCTGAGCTGGCTCCTTCAATGAGATCATAAGTGTTGCTAAGGCTGGGAATGTATCTGCCCTCCTTCCACATTCCCCCACAGCATCCTGCACAGGGCTGGGCACGTAGTAGGAGCTCAATAAAAACCTGGTGACTCATCAGGGGAACACCTCTATGGAGATGTCCAGCAGACGGTCTGACATACGAGTCTGAAATTCTGGGGTAAAATCCAGGTAGAAACAAAGACCTGAGGGGCACCAGTATTCTTTCTGTCAGGGAGCTAGGCGGTGTCTGTGGAGGTGCTCTTTCCAGCTGTGTCTGCCCCTGAAGGCTGAGCTTTCTGGGCACAGGAACCATGGATACAGAGCCTGGTGATGAGCAGGTGCCTAGCACATTTGGTCATCAATGACTGTGTGGCTGGCTGCATGACTGGCCTGGAGTTCCCTCCACATGGAAGGGCAAAGGAGTGAGGGTATTCTCGGCCCTGGTCCCCAAGCCCCAGGCAGCGGCCCTCCTGAGAGCTGCAGGTATGAAGGGAGCAGGCAAGGGGAGCCAGGGTCAGCCAGGGCCAGCCTTGAGGCAGGAGGCTATTGCCAGGCTCTATTTCAGCTGACGCCCACATCCCTGAGGGCCAGGTTCTGATTTTCCAAGGCCCCAGAACTGATGCGGGTTTCCGGGGACGACCAGAGAGCCAGGCCCAGGGCAGGGCTGTGAGCGGGGAGCTCTTCACCCTTCTCAGAGTTGTGGCTGCTCTGCCCACAAGCATATCATTCATTCATTCATTCATTCACAATCTGCATAACTCCTCCAGGTAAAGCACAGACTCCTGAGTTGATCGTGTCCCCTGAGAGGTCCTGGGTCTGGCAGGGAAATAAGTCCCGAAGAACAAGCAGGCAGGGATGAAGAGCCGCAGATCAGCGAGGGCCAGGCAGGGCCCAGAACTAGTCCTTTTAGCTGAAGCCGTCTGCAGAGCGCCCCAAGGGGGGCCCTGGCCTGGGCCTTGAAGATGAGCAGAACACTCACCTACTGCAGGGGCGGGGGGGCTCCAACATGGGAGTGAGGACCAGTGGGGCATCTGCTGCCCCTTGGCTGAAATCAGTGCCTTTGCTGAGTGGAAGCTCTCACCGCCTTTCCCTGACAAGCATCTCCTGAGAGAGCAGGCCACACACAGCCTCTCCAGCCCCCCCACCCCGCCCAATCCTTTGTTTGGACATTCTGTCTTGTTTTGGTTCTCACCTGTGACCTCTTGGTGGCACCTGGCACTTTATCACCCT